GTGTAATAATCAGTTTCTAAAGCAATAGGCTACATTCATTGAACTTCCTTATATTGGTTTGGACAGAGTTATAACTCTAAATAACTTATTTATTAATTTTTTTAAAGTATCCAAATGAAACAATACAGATACCTAATCTTATCTGAATTAAAAGCAAACAATTTCTTTTTTTATGATTGAAATGTTCATTTCAAAATGGGGAGAAAAAGTCAATATCCTATTAACAGAAAAGAAATGAATACCTTTCCCATGTGGAATATGATTGCTTGAGGGTTCTTCATTCTTATCTGCAGCATTCTCAGATATTTTTGGAATATTTTTAGGTACTACATGATCATTCATACCCAATTCTTTTCCATCATTTGGTTGAATGTTCTGGGCCTCTTGCTGCTAGATAGAGATTTAGTAAATATTTTTAAGTTCAAATTTTTTAATCATTAACATGACTATTAAGTAAATGTTCTGAAACAGTACTTCTAAAACATACACTATAAATTCAAATTCTGAACGTGGAGATACGGGATAAAATATCAGTTCCTATTTAGTTTTTAACATCTGATATGAAGTCAAAGAATAACACTTTTTAAAGTTTCTAATTACAGTAAATGGCCTATGTTAGGCAAAGGTCATTCACTTTGGCTATACTGAGGGAATGAACTCCAGGACAGCCTGACAAGCACTGTAGGTTGGCATGGTGGCCTACAGTTGAGCACTGTTCTGGATGCTAATGGGGAGGATGGGCTCTTTGTAGATATATGTTGGAATCAAGCAGGAGGTAAACAGGAGGAAGTTGGCACATGAACTTCCCTTTGAGTGTGGGAGATTATCAGGCTTTTTCCCAAGTAGGAACAGCAAGGATGAAAAACAAGAGCAACCTCTTCCTGGATGCACTAGCCACCCAAGCATAGTAAGTTAATGGCAGGATAATTTACAGGTCAGTGCTCCCTCCAGTCTGCAACTAACCATATCATCTTCCAGGAAACTTGAATCTTCAGGTATATGTTTTGGCCTCACTTAATTCTGTTGGTGGGCCAGTTATGACGTGCCTTAGCAGAAAACTGAGAGAGGGAAGAAGTCAAGTACACATGCTTGATTTGTCATACAGGTTTGTCTAGTTAATATTTAGTGCACATGTAACTGCTTCACTATTCAATGTGATTATTAGTAATGCTATAAACTTTAGAACTAAAAAAGCTATATGAAATCTAGGAAAATACGCAAAAGCTTAAGAATGTGTCACAATAAAGAAGAAAGGGTGTTTTAACAATCAGCTGTACATATTCTAGTTTCTAAATTAGCTATTCTATTTATAAATTATAGATATTCTATTTATAAATTGCTTTCCCATCTACCACCTAATAAAGATAAATTTTGAGGAAAATAAAAACACAATAAATAAAACTGAGGCTTTCAAAAGTAGCTTGTCCGGGGAAGCAGCAGTTAGCATAATGGCTATGTCGCTGGACTCCCATGTAGTCGACCACGGTTCATGTCCCAGACCCAGTGGCTTAAAACTCACGCCAGGAGCGTGTGTGTGTATGCCCAAGATCCTGAGAGGAGAATGGATGAGAAGGGATTGTGGCGTGACCATCCCCCCCGGGGGGGTGATTTCTCGCTTTCTGTCTCTATATCTCTCTCTGTCTGTCTGGGGAGTGCACACGCCCTATAGCAAAAACCTCTCCAAAAAAAAAAAAAAGTAGCTTGTCCAAAGTCACAAAGCCAGAGAATTCTGAAGAGATTCAAACTGCAGTCTTCCTGATTCCAAATGCTACATTTTCTGGCAATTTGGTAAACTATACCAATTCTAACAGTGTACTTACTAATGAGAGAAATGCTAAACTGAAATGTTTGAACACGTCAATGTGAAAGTTAAGAGAGAGAAAATCCACGTGAGGCACAACCTGAGCAGCCATCCTGCATCTCATTATAATTTTCATTATAATGCCACACAATAAGGCTATTTCTATAATACTTCACTGTTTTGTAGATATGGATGAAACAAACAACATTAAACAAAAATTAAGTCAAAAAGCTGTTGCTCAAAAAAACTTTTCCAGGGCCAGCAGGTGGCATGGTAGTTAAGTCAGTTGGATCCCACATGGCTGACTCTATGGCTTGAGACCCAGACTGGTGGCTTAAAAAACACTCTGAATGCAGGTGCAGCATGCCCAAAATCCTGAGAAGAGAATGAGAATGGACTGTGGTATGGCATCCCTTGGGGAGGGTGGGGTGATTTCTCATGTTTTCTGTCTCTCTCTGGCAAGAGATTCACATTCTCTCTCTCTGCACGTGTCCTATGGCAAAAATCTAAACACACACACACAAACACACACATAAATATATTATTTATTTATTTATTTACTAATTTTCTACTGGCTCAGTCACAATGGTGCATGCTGCTAAGTCACTGTGGTTACTGAGACAACATGAGAGGTCCAAGTTCGATTTCTGGTACAATGAGAAGTTGAGTATAGTGGCATATGCCTATAATCTCAGTAACTCTAGGAGCCTGAAGCAGAAAGGTCACAACCACAGGGCTGGCCTGGGCAACACAGTGAGATCATGTTTTAAAAAGCTGGGCATGGTGGCAAGTACCCACACTGCCAGCTGAGAGGGTGAGGCAGAAGGATTATGACATTGCGAGACCCTGTCTTAAACAAAACAAAAAACTTTTCCACTGAAAATAGTTAATGAAAATGTCCCTTTAATGTATTACTAATGATAGTAGCTTTATATGGATGGACAATAATAAATATTATTTTCCTTTTATGATAGAGGATACATGCACAAACAGAGAGAAGGATAAACTGTGTACTTGAGACCCCATAATTGCGAGGTGGGTACATGGTCACACAGTAATCCCTTTTCCTCTAATTCTCCACCCTATCGGGATTCTGGGCACTCAAGCATGCACCTGGCATGTCTGTCAAGCCAATAGGGCTAAAACTCAAACTAGTTAGCCATGTGGGATCAAACTTCCTCTGCACAACACCTAACCGCTGTGCCATGGGCCACCCTATTAAATATTCTTAGTAAAATAAGATGGTTTTCCAGATGCAATGTCTATGATTGGGTAGGTAGCCTAATTGTTTACTAAATAAACTTTTTATTTTGAAATAATGTTTGATTTGCAGAAAATTACCACTCATTCATTTCCCCCTAATGTTAACATCTTACATTACTATGGTATACTTGCAAAACTAAGAAACCAATATTAGTACATTTTAAACTCAAGTCCAGACTTTATATTTTGTCAGTTTTTACAATTCCAGTTTCTGTTCCAGGATCTAATGTAGGATACTAAATTGCATTTAAGCCTTCAAGTCTCCTAAGACTGCTCTGATCTATGACAGTTTCTTTGCCCTTGTAATATGAAAGCAGTAAACCAATGAGCATGCCACCCCCTCAATTTTTTTTTTTAATTTGCCAAAGGGCATGTGCACTCACCTGAGTGAAATAAAGAGAAGGAGAGGGGAGGGGGGAGAGAGAGAACATCCTCCAAGGGACCTGGTCACGCCACTATCTCCTCTCTTCCATCTCTTCTTCCTTTCAGGATTTATGCACACACACTTGGCGTGTTTCTCAAACCATAGGATCCAGGACTCAAACCACGTGGTCAGTCATGTGAAATTCAGCCATTTCAACCACCAGGCCACAAGCTGTTCCCTGCTTCCAAATTTTTACATACACTGAGATGTAAATTTCTTATAATTTTCCCATTTTGTATGTATTATTCTTTTGATTTTTCTAACCATTTAAAAATGTAAAAACCAGGGACCAGCAGTTGGCATAATGGCTATGTCACTGGACTCCCATGCAGTCGACCACACTTCAAGTTCCAGACCCAGTGGCTTAAACTCACGCCGGGCAGGCATGTGTGCGTGCATCTGAGGATCCCGAGAGGAGACTGGAGGAGAAGGGATTGGGGCGTGGCCATTCCCCTGGGGGGGGTGATTTCTCACTTTCTGTCTCTCTCTGTCTTTCTGGTGAGTGCACGTACCCTATAGCAAAAACCTCTCAAAAAAAAAAAATGTAAAAACCATTTTTTATCTTGTGAGTCGTATAAAAATAGCAGGCTAGATTTAGCCTGTGGGATATAGTTTGCTGATTCCTTTTTTCAGTGTTACTTCTAAGATAAATATGGGGACCAGCAGATGGTGTAATGGTTACGTTGCTGGACTCCCAGGTAGTCAACTGCAGTTCAAGTCCCAGACACAGACCCAGCGGCTTAAAATTCATGCCAAGCATGTGTGTGCAAGTGCCCCAAGTCCCGAGATTAGAAGAGAAAAGGGATTGCAGTGTGGCTGTCCCCTCTGGGAGGTGATTTCTCGCTTTCTGTCTTTCTGGCAAGTGCATACACCCTATAGCAAAATCTCTCTCTTAAAAACAAAACAAAACAAAAAACTAAAATATGTGTTTGGTTAGGGACCATCTTGAAAATCACAGAAGGCACATGTGACCACATGCCCCAAATCCCAGGAAGACAAAGGAGGTGAGGGAAATCTCGGCCTAGCCATCCCCCTGAGGGGTGATTTCTCATTTTCCCTTTTAGTCTCTATCTCTCTCTGGTGAAGGTATGTACCCTATGGCAAAAAAAGAAACCTTAGGAAAAACTTAAAAATGTACTTGGTTAATTAATCAATAAGTTAATAAACAAATAAATAAATTCCTGAACATAATTTATGTTTGTTTCATTTAGTTAACAGAGAATTTATGAAGAAAAATTATCAAAATTTCATAGAACCAACTTGGTATAGTAGTTATGTATAAAAGAGAACAAAGATTAGGGAGCAGAATTAGGTAGCTGGTCTGAAGGGTAAGGGCTATGTGTTACCCCAGAAAGGATTTTTCTAGGTACCTTCATCCCTATCCTGCCTTGTTCTATTTAGAGGATAACAACAAGAAAGAATTGGAAAGGTTCTAGTTAATTAATAATATAAAAACTGCTTGGGACCAGCAGTTGGCATAATGGCTATGTTGCTAGACTCCCATGCAGTCAACTACGGTTCGAGTCCTGGACCCAGTGGCTTAAACTCATGCCGGGCGTGTGCATGCGTGCCCAGGATCCCAAGAGGAGAATGGAGGAGAAGGGATTGCGGCATGGCCATCCCCCTGGGGGATGATTTTTCGGTTTTTATCTCTCTGTCTCTCTGGCAAGTGAATGTGCCCTATAGTAGAACAAACTATCCAAAAAAAAGGAATATAAAAACCACTTAGTATAGAAGAACCGAGAGAATTACACTTGCCAGGAAAAAGGGGAAAGATCTCATCTGTCTTTCTTGGGAGAACAAAAGAGAGCAAGTTTACTCCATTATTTATATACTAGGCTTGTAATGACACAATTGCAGTAACAAACTTTCTTCTCCTTCTTTTTATCTTCCACTACCCTCTCTTAACTGTTCAGTGTCTCAATAATACTCTCTGACTGCTCTCAATGCCTCTACTAAGGTAGTTCGCTCAGGTCTGCCTTCACCAATCCATCCTCCCATCTCTTCCAAGTAGACTGCAGAGAGCCAGCAGTTATTTCACTTTGTAGGTTAAAAAAAAGAAACTGAATAAAATAACACCCCAACGTCCTACTTTATAATCATGTAAAAAGCAAAAAATGAAAATCGAATATCCTTAATTTCTAGTTCATTAGGTGCAATGCAACCAATGAACAAAATGAATACTTTTACTATTAACTCTTTCTTTACCTTAAATCATAAGACTTCATATAAACTATGCAAGGTATTTAAAAGTCCTTAATGACTAAGATTCTTCAGACAAATTCCCTCTACTTCTAAATGAACCTTCATTATAAATATCAACTTTAGAATGGATAAATTAATAAAAGAACTAGCCATCTGAAAAAGCATAAATCAAAATTAGTTACAGTGGCTAATTTTCCATTATGTTTTAAGAAAGAGTATCAGAATAACAGAGTTTGATAATATGGAAAAAAGTTTTTCTGTTTCTCAAATGCATAAAATAGGAAGCAACTGATTTTCAGTAAAATGTTATATACTTCACAATCTGAGGAATATATTAACCACACAAATCACTTTTAAATAAATATTATTTTAGCTCACACTTAGTTTTAAAAGTTAAGAATGTACTTCAGCAAATATCTAATTTACTCAACAATAAAACCACTACAACTCATTTTTAGAATTAAACAGCCTACAATATTTTAAAAATACAATGTTTGGGACCAGCAGACGGTATAATGGTTACGTTGCTGGACTTCCACATAGTCAACTGTAGTTTGGTCCTGGACCCAATAGCTTCAAACTCACACTGGGCGTGTGTGTGTGTGTGTGTGTGTGTGTGTGCATGCCCTCTCTCCTGAGAGGAGAATGGAGGAGAAGAGATTGTGGTGTGGCCATTCCCCTGGTAGGTCACTTCTCACTTTGTCTCTTTCTGTGTCCCTGGAGACCACACATGCCCTATAGCAAAAATCTCTCTCTAAAACAAAGAAGCAAAAGAAAACCCCAATGTTTTATAACAAAAGTTCAATTTTAATTTCAAAATTATAGTATATAACAAAAACATGCTTTTTTTCCCAAATAACATAATTTGACTTAAGAATTTTTTAAAATCTTACCTTTTGTTCTTGTAAAAACTGGTCTGCTAACTTTTTAATATTTTCCTCATTTTGTGCTCTTAATTCTTTTATCTGTTGTCCGCACTGAAAACTAAAATACAAAGTCACCCGTTTTGATTAGATTGTCTTAGGTTGGATTTTCAAAGTTGTCTATTAGTTGACACACACTTAGAAAGATAAAACATTGAATTAGCAGAAGAGAATAGACAAATAGAGTCAAAACCTTTAAAATATCTGAATCTTGTCACAGGGGATAAAGAATACTAATAAAGCTACTAGAGAAAATATAAATTAGAAACGTGAAAACAATTCCTTTTCAATTATTTTTATAAATTAGCCCTTAAAGAAACAATTGTCAATGTTAACCTAAATCAGAAAGAAAAATATTAAAAAACTGTAAAACCAATTTACAGTAATAGATGAAAAAAAGCTAAAATTACGAGTTGATAAGGAGTGACAGCCCATGATTCATCCAATAGTTAGTATTTTAAATCCTATAATAAAAGTCTAAACCACAGAAAAATAGAAATAGAAGAAACTAATAAAGAAAATAGACCAGTACCAACAAGAGAAGATGAAAAAGACTAAACATGTAAGCACAGTAACTTCCCTGTGGACCAGTCAAAGAATACAAATAGATCTTTTGTGCAAAAGAAACATTTAGTTAATAAATACATTTTGAAATGTTAGTTTTCATCATTATAAAATACAAATTGGGCCAGTTCTGTGACCTGGTGGTTAAAGTAGCCAGATTCCACAAGGCTGACCACACAGTTTAATCCTAGACCCAGTGGCTTGAGAAATACACTGGGCATATGTGCATCCATATCCAAAATCCTGACAGGATGGAGAGGTGGAAGAAAAAGGATTATGGCTTGAAAAACACTCCAAGAGTATGTGCGTACATGCCTGATAAGATTGAGAGGTGGGGTTATGCCCCATTGGAGGTGTTTTCTCTTGCTTTTCAGGCAAACATACTCATCCTCTTACAATTAAAAACAAATATATATATAGAAAGAGGTGGGTAGGTAGGTATATATTAGTCATCTACAACAGTAAGGAGTTAGAAGTGAATAAACGGTGCTTTAATATAATATGAATCCTTCTAATTTTTGATATACAGACCTACAAAATATCTTTTATCATAAAACTGGTTAGAGATATAATAAAGATGTTTAAAGAGTGACTGCTATAATAGAAAGGCTTCATCATCAAATGTAGAGGTCTGAACTGCAGAGCAGGAGAAGCAGCCAGCACTCAATATTCTGGGGACATTTTTCAGTGGTGGCAACATCTTCTAGATGCCCCTCAAAAACAAACAAACAAACAAAAATCAAAGAATTTTCTTTCACTCTTATTACATCTAATTCAATAAAACCTGGAGCTTGTAAGATTTTCTGTCTCACAGTGTACACAAACTTAGAGAAATGCAACATGTCCTTCCTGTGAGAGATATTTTTTATGGCATTTAATATATAAAAATAAGCATATAGATTTTGGGGCTGGCAGGTGGCGAGTGGTTAAGGGCGCTAGACTCTCACATGGTGGACCATGGTTCGAGTCTTGGACTGGCAGCTTACTTTCTCACTTTCTGTCTCTCTTTCTCACTTTGTCCCTCTCTGGTAAAATTAAAATAAATAAATAAAGTGAAGTAAAACAGTTCTTTAAAAAAATAAGCATATAGGTTTCAAACAAAAAAGCACATGGAAAAAGACATTTTTACAAAAGAATTATTTAATTAATTTATTTATTCATAGTCAGTCATGTGGGAATCTAGTGCCTTAACCACCACACCACCTGCTGGCCCTGGAAAAGGAATTTAAAAGGCTTAGTAAAATGAAAGAAAAGGAAAACAAAAGCCAGAAAGAAATAATACATTAAGTTCAAAAGTTGAGTATTTCAGACTCATAAATACTATTTGCATGTAGTGTCTTACCTTTCATACTCTAATCTCTTCACAAGGTAAGTATTATTCTTCCTATAGTCCTGAAGCTGGTCTTCTTGTCGAAGAAACTCCTGACGAAGCTCAGCAAGTTGCTCTATCCACAGAGGGTAAGACCCAAAGAAATCAAGTTTACTCCTTATAATGCTTCCTATTGAGAAACTATTTTTATCACATCAAAGACACTTCTCAATTTCTTTACTTATACTCTCAAGAAGTTAAGTTATATAATTAATACCACATTTATCTTTTATAACACATTCATGGCCAATAAAATTTATTTATTTATTTCATTTTCTTGAGTTTTTGCCATAGGGTATTTGTGCTCACCGGAGAGACAGAGAGAGACAGGAAGGGAGAAAGTGAGAAATACCCCCCCAGGGGGAATGGCCACACCACAATCTCTTCTCCTCCATTCACTTCCTGGGATTTTTAGGTTATGGACATATGCCTGGCATGATTTTCACGCTGCCAGTTCGGAGCTTGAACAGTCAGCCATGTAAACAGTCCAGCACCTTAATCCTTATGCCACCTGCTGGCCCCAATAAAATTTATTTTTAAAAGATATGGCCTCAGAGGCTTTCAGGTCACCTGGGGGGAAAATACAAATATATGTATAAACGCACACACATATATACACGGGCTACATCGTGATCCTCCTTCCTTGACTTCTCTGTAGCCAAGATTACAGGTCACACCACCACACTCAGCTTCTAGGGTAGTTCAGAAATGAAACTGGGCTTCCCCTGTGGCTTCAGCTTGTGGGGTAGCAGCATCAACCAGTATATACTACCACAACTAGATCTGAAATATTTTCTAAATCGCACATCTTTCACATTAGGTACACATCCCCTATGCTGTGGAGATAATACAGAAAAACTGTCTCATTAAACCTATCTGCTTTACAGAAGCAAAGAAAAACAAACAAACAAAAAAAGCAAAACAAAACATACTTTTTAGACGTAATTGCTATAGGTACAAAATTCAAGATTTGTCATTTTAAATCACACCTGCCTTCCCACTTAGATATCAAAAATTGTTAAACTCATTTCTTATTCTCTGATGCTAGATCTACATCTCCTCAAATTTCAATTTTAAAGATCATAATTTCTAGACTAGGGCTGAAAGTTTGCAGTTGTAATGAGTGACAGAAAATTCAAAGCTGGGCAGTAAAGCAAAATATGGGCCAGACACTCTCTTATAAACATTTAATATATAATCACTGGACACACATTTTCTAGATTTTAGTCCCTCATCATCTGAGCCTACAGATTAAAAAAAAATGTAGGCAGATAAGAGAACATGTTGATTCCTTGCATAGATGATTTAAAAACTAGCTAACAGTATTAGTGGTTAAGCAAAAGTAGTATTGAGAAAGTCCTGGGGCCGGCAGGTGGTGCAGTGGTTACAAGTGCTGGACTCCCACATAGCTGACCACGGTTCAAGCTTCCTTTCTCGCTTTCTCTCTCTCTGTGTGTCTTGCTCTGGTCAAATTAAAAATAACAATAATGATAAATAAAATAAAAGAAATAATTCTTTAAAAAAAAAAGAAAGTCCTAGACCTGCTCCATGTTCAAAAGGCAGCGGATTCCACATGGCTAATCACATGGTTTGGGTCCAAACCCAGTGACTTAAGAAACATGCCAGATGAGTGTGCCTGTGTGCTCCAATCCCTGACAGGATGGAAAGATAAACAGATTTCAGCATGATCATTCCCCTTGAGGGGTGTTTTCTTCTATCTTTCTGGTGAGCAAGGGCACCATCTAGCAAAAAAAAAAAAAGGTCCAATTTTTCATAAATGGGAATAGAGGACTATACTGTACAAGCAATAGCTACTAAGATTAAAACACATTATCTAACTATAATGTACCAATATTATAACAACAACATCTACTCTTCCTGGAAAGTTTATATACTTAGTCTAAAGATGATCTAGAAATGCTGAATACATGTTTTTAAAAAGCAGATGTAAAAATATATTCATATAATTATTTCCATGTAAAAATAAGACTAGAACTAGAACTAGGCTACTTTTTCCTACAACATAAAATACCTGAAGTAGTTTCAGAATGAACCTGAGGTATAATATGATTTCAGGATTTAGGATGGCTTTTCTTCCACCCCACTGTTAATATATCTGAAATTACTTTATCAAGAAATAACATTTTGAGACCAGGAGTTAGTGTAATGGTTATGTTGCTGAACTCCCATGTAGTCGACCGCAGTTCGAGCCCCAGACCCGGTGGCTTAAACTCACACTGGGTGCACGTGCATGCATGCCCAAGATCCCGAGAGGAGAATGGAGGAGACGGGATTACGGCATGGCCATCCCCCCTGGGGGGTGATTTCTCACTTTCTGTCTCTCTGTCTCTCTCTGTCTTTCTGGCGAGCATACGTGCCCTATAGCAAAAACCTCTCCAAAAATAAATAAATAAATAAAATAAAATTTTCATTTACAATTGAAGATAAAAAGTTAAAATAAATTGACAAAGAAAAAGAAAGTATTAGCATGAACAAATAGTCCACTTAAATATCAGATTATTTCCCATATGAATATAGGGAAAGGACTATAAAGCAGGGAGGTAACTGCTTTGAGTGCATCAAAAATAAAGACTTGAAAGAAGAAAATAAGCAAACGAGAAAGCAAAACTAAAGACAAAGCATTCCCGTATCACAATTTTACTTTCAGCTGGATGGCATGTAAACCCAGAGACATTCTGCGTCTAGTGTGACTGCTCCACGGCAAGATTCTCAGAGTAACTAAACGTGAATCAGGTTCGAGGTCGACTGTGCAGGGTATTCTACCTCTAGAAGTAATACTGGGTATGTTGTAGAAAGGCATGACTGTACTTCCTCAATTTAACTTCAAAAGATTAGGCAGGTAAGAAAGGGGTTGCCTAGGAACAGCTTTTACAGCAAGGGGAAAAAAATCTCTCTCTAGAAAATTTTGAATTCAGATTTTCTCAGTAATAGGCATAAAAAGAAGGTGTGCTATTCAAAATAAATCAGCATATACTAAAAGGTTAATTTCTTATTTCAGGGATTTCTGAAAACCCAACTGTCATTCCTTTTATTTCCAAGAAAATATTAACCACCATAAAGCTTTTTTAAGGGTCTTAGTGTCTGTTTACTCCATTACATTGGGTATTAATTTGAAAGAAAATAGTCAAATCTGGATCTCATACTTGACTTGTCAATAAGTTTGTTTCAGTAGAAATCATTCCCAAGGTGTAAAAATCATATTAATGAATTTGACCTTAGGTGTATAAGCTTCAGTAAATAATAAAACCAAATTATTATATAGCTATGCAATCAAATTAAAATGCCAGGGCCAGCAAGTGGCAAGGTTGTTAAGGTACTGAACTCCCACATGACTGATTGTGGTTGAGTAGTGGACTCAGGGGCATATGTGCATGCGTCCCCCAAATCCCAAGAGTATGGAGGATAAGGGATTGTGGTGCGGCCATCACCCTAGTGGGTGATTCCTCACTCTCCATCCATGTGTCTCTCTGGAAAGTGCATGTGCCCTACGGCAAAAACCTACAAAATAACAACAACAAGAAAAATAAACAAACTTTTTTCTGAGTTGAAGAGTATAACAAATTTTAAAATATCTTATGATCTACTTCAACACATGCAGTACAATAAATATCTTTGACTCAGCAACACACACTCTCACTTTCTTTGACATATACTAAAAGAAGCTACATGTAGTGTTTTTATTTTTAAAGAATTATGTTATTTAATTTTACATATTTATTTATCTGTTTGTTTTAAATTGACCAGAGAAGGACAGAGTGAGAGAGAGAAGGAGAGAGGGAAAGTGAGAAAGCAAGCCACCAAGTCCGGGACTTGAACCGTGGTCGGTCGTGTGGGAGTCCAGCACCCTTAATCACCACGCTACCTGCTGGCCCCCACATATAATTATTTAACTGATTTATTACTATCCAACAAGAATATACTTTGTCTGATGGCAAGTAGAATCATTTTTAAAGTTGTAAGCTGGAAGCAGTACTGCCAATATGGCATCTTCTCTGTCATCCTAATGTACTCCTGTAGTCAAAGAGAGTAGAACATGGACACAAATGCAACAAAAACAAATGTGACCACCAGGAAATATTTCTAACAGAAAACCAAAACTGTTCTAAGTCATAAATACTATAATATTAACAATTTTTACTTTAGAGTTATAACACACCATATTCCCTAACAGCTCTGCTAGCCAGGAGGAATATTTTACTATATTACAAAGCCAGCTCAAAAGTTGGATACTTCAAGAAGATAATAACAATAATCTCTTTAAAGTGGTCTATACATGATAAAAGAATAAGGGATCTTATATTAAGTTAGACTTCATGTATTACCCATATACATAAACTTAAGAGTCAATACATGCAGTTTTAAAAAATACAGTTTTGTAACCAAAGGGCGTGAAGGAGAAGAGAGTTGGACTTTAGACCCCAAACGCTAGAAAGACCAGCAATGGTATGAAGTAACATAAGCAGAGTATAGACTTGCTTTCCTTACCTACTTTTTTTTTTCTTTTTTTTTTTTTTTGAGAGGTTTTTGCTATAGGGCATGTGCGCTCGCCAGAAAGACAGAGACAGACAGAGAGATAGAAAGCGAGAAATCACCCCCCAGGGGGGATGGCCATGCCGCAATCCCTTCTCCTCCATTCTCCTCTCAGGATCTTGGGCACGCATGCACACATGCCCGGCGTGAGTTTAAGCTGCCGGGTCCAGGACGCGAACCATGGTCGACTACATGGGAGTCCAGCGACATAGCCATTACGCTAACTGCTGGTCCCTCCTTACCTACTTTTTTTTCCATAAAAGCTGTACTTATTTTCTCTATCACCTCATCTAAGGGAAAATGTGTGTGTGTGTGTATTTTTATATTATGTATTTATTTATTACATATTTATCTATCTTCCAGGTTTCTGAGAGCTGAAACATTAAGCCTGGAGGGCATGCCCAAAGCATCCTCTGACCTGCATGGATTATTTTAGCTGACTGGACATAGTACAGAGGGGTCCCTCCTCACCCTTCCCTTGGAAATCTGATGACCTCTGAAGCTATAGCTCAATCTTCTTTGAGGATTATTTTAAGAACAACTTACTGCATGAACACTGTCTACAACGCAAGAATAAGATGCAGACCTTAAATTTTAACTTGCATTTATTATATATTCAGGAATATTGAATAGTTTTTATTATATCTTAGCACAATAAAATCTTTTGCCATCAGGAAACTTTGTTCAGAAAATAGCTAATTTACTATTTCTTAATTCTTAAAGATTTAGGACATTTTTGACCGATGTTTGTCTTTAAACTGTAATTAAATTTCTTACCCTTTAAATGATGTATGTCTGCCATCTGATAGGATATGTTGCTCTGCAGTTTAATCTGAAAAATAATTAAGTTTCGTTTTACTAGAGAATATGTAGTTTTGCTCATATTTCCTTTTTCTATTTGCTCATATTCACTTTGAGCTTGTTCATAAATACAAAAGAAAATAAATTCTGATACTTTATGCTCCACCTTTTCCAAAAAGAATTATTAGGGCTGGCAGGTGGTGTGGTGGTTAAAGGTGCTTGATTCCCACATGGCCACCTACAGTTCGAGTCCAGAAAGAATTATGATCTTGCAATGCTTATTTCATATTTGCACAGAATATTAAATTTATTTGATAGTGTGATGACTTTCAAAAGTTTTAGTTTTTAATTTCCAGATTAAAAAAAATTATCTCCCCCATAAGCAAGACAGAGATAGAGACTGAGAGAAAAGGAGACAAACAGAAACCCCCACAAGGTCTTAATACCACAACCCACCTCCAACCTCAGCTAAGCCTCAGATCATTGGCGCATGTGTGTCCAGCAACAACCTGAAACCTTTTCAATTGGGTTAGCCTTGAAGAGTGTCACATTTTACTGCTATGTCACTATCTGGCCCCCCAAAAATTTTAAATTTGAGTTTAACATCACTTAACAATGTTTGTTCAAAATTTTAACCAGAAAGACCTTTCACTAACTCCCTCTCTCTGTTTTTTGTTTTTTTTTTGTAGAGGTTTTTGCCTTAAGAGGTGTGCACTGGTCAGAAAGAGAGAGAGACAGTGAGAAAGAAGTGAGAAATCATCCCCAGGGAGGATGGCCATGCCACAGTCCCTTCTCCTCCATTCTCCTCCTGAGAGCTTGGGCACATACGCACATGCGCCTGGCATGAGTTTCAAGTCATCCGATCTGGGACTCAAACTGCAGTCAACCATGTGGGAGTCCAACAATGTAACCGCTATGCCATCTGCTGGCCCCAGTAATTCTATTAATTGTTTGGGGACCAGAAGATGGTGTAATGGTTACATCGCTGGACTCTGATGTAGTTGACCATGGTTTGAGTCCCAGACCCAGTGGCTTAAAACTCATGCCGAGCACATGAGTGCATGCTCAAAATCCCAAGAGGAGAAGGGAGAGAAGGGATTGAGGTGTGGCCACCCCCCCCGGGGGGGGGGATTTTCTCACTTTTTGTCTGTCTGTCTCTCTTTGTTGCTCTGGTTGACTGCACGTGCCCTACGGCAAAAATCTCTTTAAAAAAAAAAAGAATTATTCAAATTATTGTTTGGGGCCAGGCAATGGCATGGTGGTTAAGGTAGCTGGATCCCACATGGTCAACAGTGTGGTTTGGGTCCCAGATACAGCAGCTTGAAAAATTGACAGGGCATTTGTATATGTATGCCCAAACTCCTAAGAGGAGAAATGGAGAAGGAACTGTGGCATGACTATGTCCCCTACTTTCTCACTTTCCCTCTTTCTCTTCCTATCACTCTCTGGCAAACGTCTATGCCCTCCAGGAATTTTCTTAAAAAAGAGAATTGTTTGAATCATTAAATATCAAATTGAAAGTAATTAAAGCCTATTAAGCTCCCATAGGATGACTTGATATCCAGTATAATATCCTAACAGGAAACAGGGCTGTTCTCACTGTCCTCCAGGAACCAGTATACAAGAACACTAAGAACATCAAAGTATACTGAACTTGACTCGAATTGAGGCTCACTAACTCAATTTAAAAATTAAAACTAGGCTTTGAATAAGTCAGGACCTGGTATACAAGAAACAACTGTGTCTCATTTCTTGCTTTATACGAGTTTCACATAATTATAAAATGTAATTAAATGTCACTACAAATGAATTCTCTTGTCTACCACATGGTAACTTTACTTTGAAAGGCACAGGTGACCCATACAGATCAGAAGCAACATCACTAATAACAAAATGATTATGATAAATACCGCTTCAATCTCTAAAGAACGTGTCTTTAATTGACGGAGGACACATACAGTTGCCAGAGAGAGAATGGACAGACAGAAGGAGAAAGGAGAAAGCATTCCCCAATGGGGTATGGGCATGTCACAATTGCTTCTCTTCCATTTCTCTATTATGCTGGGACACCAGGTATGCACGTATATCTGCCGAGCATGTTTTTCACACTGTCTGGGTGTTGAATCACAGTCAGCCACGTGGAATCTGGCTCCCTTAACCACTAGGCCATGGGGCTGGCCTGTCTGAAAAACATTTTTAGACTTTTTATTTTGAAATAATTATAGTTACACAAGAACCAAAGACAGCACAGAAAGGTCCCATGTATCTGTAACAAAATTCCCCCAATAGGTCCATCTTACATAACTGGTATATTTAAGCCAGGTAATTGACATCGACACAATAGGAATGTGTAGTACTATGCCATTCTAACGTATGTTTAGATTCAGGTAACCACCATCCACAGTCAAGATACAGAACTAGGCCATCACACTATCCTTTATAGTCACATCCACCCCATAGTGGGGGTACTAGATGGGATACTATAAAACAGTTAACAAAATATAAGAGCAATCTCAAGGAATCAGCAGGCCAGGAGTGCCCAATGCAGTATAATTATTATAGGAATTCAGAGATAAGGGGAAGCTTCATAAAAGGGATTATATGTGAATTAGGCACTGAAAGCTAGGTAAAACTTTGAACAGATGAAAAAAGGCATTTCACACAGAGGAGAAAGTATGAGGTACACATGAAGTAACCACTGAAGTACTATTTGACTAAAGCATGTAATACAAGAGAAAGAATAGCAGGAAAGAAAGATGAAAAAAAATTAATATGGAGGGTCCATCAGCCTCAGGGTCTTTTCTTCCATCTGAGAGCCAGTGACTTTCAAATTTAAAATGAAAGCTTATCCATAAACAAACTACAGATGAAAGTGAAACTACTCTAGTTGAAGTAGGAATGGGAGTCCAAGGGTCCCTCTTTCTTTTCCCCTAGAGTCCTAGGGGCTTTGAAGAATGAAGTTTAAAATACAATGCTGATATCCAGTCATAAAAAAGGAATAAAGTGCTAGTACATAATTCAACATGGATGAGCTCTGAAAACATTGTATATGCTAAATGAAAAAAGCTAGTCACGGACAAATATCTGATTCTATTTATATGAAATACATAGAGCAGGCAAATCCATTGAGACAGAAAGTGCATTAGTGGTTGCTGGGGTGGGGGTAGGGAGAGAGAATAAGGAATGCCTTCTTAATGGACATGGCTTCTTTTTTAAGGTGATGAAAATATCCAAGAATTAGTGGTGATGGTTGCATGACACCGTAAATATACTAAAAACTACTAAATTATATATTTTGAAAGAATGAACTTTATATGACTTATATCTCAACTTTTAAAATGCAAAATAGTAACCATAAAAATGCTGAAGGTACCATGAGGTACTATACAGGAAATGGAATAAAACAATGAATTAATTCTGCATACATGGAGCTTATTATTTAGGAGAGACAGTCAAGTAAATAGGCAATTATAATAGAGTTAGATAAATGCCAGCAGTGGGTTTTACAGAAATGACAGAACTTAGAAGCACTTAAATCCAGACTTGGGGAAAGTAAGGGGAGGCTTCAGGGAGGAGACGATGCTGGTTGAAGTGAGTCCTGCAGAGATGCAGTGTTTAGCTATGTGGAAAAGAGAGAGAGTAAGGAGTGAAAGTGTTCAAGAAATGTGTCAAACTTAGGAGTGAAGGCCCACTCACAGTGGAACAGGGAGGAAGCTGGAAGTCACATGGGAAACATGGGTTTGGTTTCCAGGACAATCTGAACATATTAGGCACATCTGCACATGCCTATAATCCTAGCTAATTGGGAGGCTGGGGCAAGAGTCCTGAGACAATGCAATAAACTATCAAAAAGACCTATCTCTGGGGCCAGCAGGTGGCATGGTGGTTAAGGCACTGGATTCCTACATGGCTGAAGCTGATTTGAGTCCCAAATCCAGTGGCTTGGAGATCATGCTGAGAGCGAGTGTGTGTGTGCTCAAAATTCCAAGAGGAGAATGGGGGAAAAGGGACTGCAGTGTGGCCATTTCCCAGAGGGATGGTTTCTCATTTTCTCTTTCTCTGTCTCCCTCTGTCTCTTTCCAGAGAGTGCATGTGCCCTATGGCAGAAACCAAAAGAAAAAAAAAACCCTCTCTCTCTCTCTTTCCTTTCTTCTCCTTGCCCTCCCCATTAAAAAAAATAAAAGTAAAAAAAAAAAAAAGAAAGTACATTCCAGGAATTGCAAGCATTTCCAAGTAGCTGGAACAGAAAATTCAAAGGAAATGGTATAAAATATGGCTAGAAAGGTAAACAAGGTCTATATTATAAAGGACCTTGCCAAGGAACATGGATACATCCCATACGCTATGGCCAATTATTATTATTTTTTTTTGAAGAGGTTTTTGCTATAGGGCATGTGCGCTTGCCAGAAAGACAGAGAAAGACAGAGAGATGGAAAGAGAGAAATCACTCCCCAGGGGGATGGCCATGCCACAATCCCTTCTCCTCCATTCTCCTCTCTGGATCTTGGACATGCACGCACATGTGCCCAGCATGAGTTTAAACCACTAGGTTGGGACTCGAACCACGGTCGACTACGTGGGAGTCCAGCGACATAGCCATATACCAACTGCAGGTCCCAGGGCATGGTCAATTTTTAAAGAACTTTTAAGCATGGTAGTAAAATCCAATTTCCAATTTTGAAATGTCAACCTGGTTACAGGGTGAAGAGAAGACTAGAGGGGGCAAGATTAGAGGGAGAGGGACCAGGCCATTGGTGAAAAAATGTTGGTCCAGGTCAGGGATGTGCAAACTGGCCTGTGAGCATGTTTCTGTGGGGATAGTAAGATAATGACTTTTGTTATATATATATATTTTTTCAAATGGTTGGGGGGAAATTTAAACAATTTTGTGATACATGAATTTTTATGAAATTCAAGTTTCATTGTCTATAAGTTTTTTTTTTCTTCTTTTTTCTTTTTTAGTATATTTCTTCCATGAGCAAGAGAGACAGGGAGAGAGAGAGAGAAAGACAGCATCCCCCACAAGGTCCT